CTGTAAAATCAGGTGATGAAACAGATTATTTATTTATTTTTGTGTATTTACTAATTTTATTATGTTTTATAGTTTCTTATTTAAAAGAATAATTAAGAGGATTGACATTACATACCTTAGTTTCCAATTGTGCATGGCTGCAATTTACGTGCTCCGTTGTTTGAAGTAACACTAGCTTGTCCAGCGGCGGGGTATGAAAATAAAAAGGAGATCTAATTTTCACAACGGGATTTCGGAAAACAAACTTTTGATACGTGTTTCTGAAGGTCAAAGGTAGCCTCCATAACTCCAAATATAATCCCGTTCAATGTTACACCCTGTATACTACAATGTCGGTAATGTGTGACGCAAGTTATAGTTGGTCGTAGTATCTAAACAAATTATAGTCGGCAGTGTCGTGGTAAATTTTTAATGTATATTTTTTTCTCTGCATGCGACATAAAGCGATAGCCTCTTGACAAATGTTAACAATTAGAAACGACAATAAAAATCATAAGTATTATTTTGCTAGTTAGTTTTCATTTTGCCATTGTGGTATAAAAGACAAGGAAAATATTAACCGTTTGTGTATGATTAGCTTTAATTTGATCCCGGCAACGGTATCCATTTTAAAACAGGGGTTTCACATTCTGTCCGCCATTTTTTTTCATGGTTGTTGCCAGTATATTCAGTAAAGTCAGTCCAGTTATAGGATTCACCGTCTGGATAATTTGTTACTGAGAAATTTGTCACAAAGAATAGTTGTCCGATTAATGTCTTATCTTTAATCTCAAGGTTCAAGAGTAAATAGATTTGTGACTCAATATTTGGTATAAATAAATATTATGTAAAAGTACGGGGTGTTTCATGACTAATTGATGAAAATTTAAAATTTGAATTCTGGTAGTTAAATAATTTTAATGAAAGAATGTCGAATTTTTGAAATATTTGAAAATTAAGTAAGACAAGGTGCAAACACTCGGCTGGTAGAAACGACCCACACACTAACCCTACTTATGTTAAATGAAATTTGATTAAACTATTTTTGTAAATGAGAACTTCTATAACATGTGATCTAAAATATTGATTTCCTGACAAATCAAATGACGTGAAGAAGTCAAAGGAAATGTTATACAGGAGGATACGAAAATGATCAACTTTTATTAAGCAACTTGATGGTTTAAATGCTGCATTTTCGAGAAAATTAATTAAGAAAATTAACCATAAATGTAAGCAGACCCTGTGCATCTTGTGCACGTGCACATGCTTGAAGCGCTTCTCTAATTGGCTGCGATCCACGTGCCTTTCATAATGCACTGCAGAACTGCACTGCTGGGCAATTTAAGATCCACTTGTCGCCTGCTGTGATTTATTTCCAGAAGCCCAATACAGTTGTGTTACATTTCGTTTGCCCGCGCTCGCATTCTTCAACTGGTCGTATACATTTCAACCACCTGCACGTTTAGTTCGACCAGATATATGGGTATGGCTAAATAAATATGGGAACAAGTTTTTCAAATATTTCAATGCCGAGTTGCTGCTTAGCGACCGAGCCTGGTACATACCTTGAAATTATAGGTTCTTCAATTGACTTCGGAAAAACTATACATCATCTGAGTGTATGTATGGTCAAGATAAATTTTAGTACACATATTATCTTAATAAAGTTCTCGAATAGTATAATTAATATAAAAATATTAATTTTCGGTGAATATATTAAGCAAAACTCGAGTTGGGTTTTTTAAGAATGTTAATAAATGGGAGATCTTATCCGCACTTGCACTGTCCGTGGACGCAGCGCCCTATCTTTGGGGCACATATTGGGATACAGTCATGTACGGAGCAAGAAGCTCTTGGATGCCTATATAGGTACAGCCTCTTCCAGTGGTGCATCTGAAACACAAATATTTAAATTTATTTCCATATTTTATACTTTTAGTAAAAAATCTCAGATATTAAACAAGATGCCCACAAACTGAGGCTGATTTCGTATTCCTGGTTTACTATCAGGCAATACTTAGAAAATAATTTTTTTGGAGGTAAAATTTTAATCGTCGATTTCCGGAGGACTGTTTTTTTAACCCGAAAATTATGAATAAATTCTCCTAGAATATTAGGAACATAATATTTTTGCGAAACTATTACTCCCTTCTAGGGGGATTTGTTTTGGTTAATTTTACAAACAATATTAGGAATAGCTGAAAAAATAACGAAAATTGCTATTTTTTCGAAAAGTGTCATATAACGTTAATTCTGTTTTCTAAGTGTCAAAAAGATGCATCAGGTAACTGGTTAAAAAAACCATTTTGTTCTAAAACATAGCGGTTTTTTTATACAACTGTTACTTATTGTACTAATGTACAATGTACATTAGTACAATAAGTACTTTAGTTGAACAAATTAGCTTAAAAAATAATTATAAATGAGCATTTAATAATATCGTGTACCTACATACCTTCTGCTAAATTTACTTGATCTTGTTGTTGACAAAAACGAAAATAATAGCAAATAAAACAATTGCCTTCATTTCGTATTAAGAAAATACTGATATAAAATTATGCAAACCTGAGGTACTACCGTTTTCCTTCTCCTGCCTTGTATTTATACTAGCATATTTCCATTCGATGTCGCAAATAAGTAGCAGCATAGTGGTCCATACACGTAAGTACGTTCTTTATGTTATATGAAATTTGTCGTCACAATTTTTCTTAATTGAATAATTCAATAACATGCGATTTACCTAATGATAAATGATTTGTTCATAAATGAAATGACATTAAGGAACCAAAGCAAAACTATAGAAACATTTTCAAATGCGGTATTAAACGGTCGTGTGAGATTAACTTAGGTATATTTCTTTCCCTGCAGCAAAATATATTTTTAAATAGTTTAGCATATTTTCCTTCTTTTTTTCTTGGGTAATGATAATATATTCAGGGGAATTACCGTCTTTAGAATTCGTTGTTGGGTATTTATTTATTATAATAGTAGAAATTAGTTATCCAACTTATATCTTAATTTTTTTGTCAAATCTTAACATATTAATTCATATTCGAGCGCCAAATTTTATAAATAAATTTCTATATTTTATTGAAATTTTTTTGGATATTTATTCAAATATTCGAAAAACATAATTTACAAAATTTTCGTCAATCATTAAATTCATAAAAATTTTATTATCAAAAGTTTACTCAGTCTAGCTTATCTTTGATGTTAAAATGCATTCTTCGATTTTGCATTCGTTCAATTCTACATTATGAAATAATTGTTAAAACGTTTATGCAAGAAATATTTATGTAGAAATAAACCTTAAGGCTAACTATCGTTTAAAATATACAAGGTGTTCTACAAGCTCTACGACAAACTTCGACAGATGGTAGCTGAGTTAATTTTTTTTTATTTTTTCTTATATGACAATAGGTCCGATTCGTTTTTGTCTAAAAATTACAAGCATTTTAAAAAATATAATTTAATATTTCAATCAAAGTAACCTGACAAATCAGAATGATGGTTGCTATGACAATAATAATTATTATTTGTGTAATTTTGTTTATTCACTGACACGTTAAACTGCTAAATAAAAAATGCATTTATTTGCAACTGAAGAGTATGCAGATATTGTCTTTGTATATGGGTATTCCAATAGGAACGCCAGACAAGCAGCCCGAGAATACTACTGACTTAGATACCCAAATAGACATCAACCTACTCACACAAACTTTTTGATTTATTGATGACAGGGCTTAATATTGTTCAAAATATGTGGTATCACTATTTGGTTAAATGATCATTTTCCGAATAAATGGATAGGTCATCAAGGTCCAATAGCTTGGCGACCGCGTTCCCCAGATCTAAATCCTTTGGAATTTCATTTATGGGAACATATGAAGCAGCTTGTCTAGCATCACTACTCGGCAGCAGTTACTTCAGGATACCAGTAAACCAGAAAAGAAATGATCCAAGTCTCAACCGTCGAGTGACGGAATCTTTAGTTCACCGAAGAGAGGTTGATTTGTTAGTTTAGTTAATAAAGGTTAACTAATGTTCAAATTTTAAACACAAATAATAATTATTGTTATAGCAACCAACATTTTTATTTATCAGGCTACTTTGATAGAAATATGAAATTATATTTTTTAAAATGCTTGTAACTTCTAAACAAATCTGTCAAAGTTTGTCATAGAGCTTGTAGAACACCATGTACGTTTTGACACAAAAAGCATAAGCAACAAACCTTATTTGTATTTCTTATTATTAAATCTGAAATTTAAAAGTATCAATGAGGTCTTTGACCGGATGTGCTAAATATTATTTTATTGTTCGTCAGTAACGTAAAATTTGAAGTATTTCATACTGCCCACGTATTTTTGCTTTATACCATTATATGTAAGTACCATATATTCCTATGAGTGACAACAATTTTAATCAGGCGTTTAATTCATCAAAAGCAACAATTTTTGTCTACCTTTTTCGGAAACCTTTTAGTTTTTAAGAAACTGCTACGCTATTGAAGCAAGTATAAAGATGGAAACTAATTGATGAGCAAAAAAAATTAAGGTAGCACATAATTTCATAAAACACTTGCATACCTTACTTGGATATTTATTTAATCTACAGGTAGTTAGGAGTTAGGTGGCATTATTTTGATGGTTTCAAAATGCCGGGTAAAAAAGTGAGTTTTTGAATATTAGACTAAAGTTTTGTTGAGTTAAAGCATGCTTAAAATGTCGGCAATTTTTTCTTGGACATCTTTACAATACTTACATCTTTTGTAGAGTTCAAATACATTTTTACTCGCTTCCAATCGTTTTAAACCGTTGACAACTAAACAGTTTAGAATGTAAACAGTCATATTTTTTCAAAAGTATCAACTAGTAGGTATGTCTAGCTAGATTGTCCAATAGTTGAGCATTTTTTAATTTTTTGTTGGTATTGTAGGAACGTTCAGTTTATTATAATTGTTTTTTTTACATCAGTTTAATATTAAAAAATGTGGTCTGATTGTTTGTTAAAAAAATCTATTTTCTTTTCAAATATTTTTTATTAAAAAATATAAACTATAAACTATATTAAAGTGTACAAAATTCTCCAAAATATTCTATCGGCAATGACAGCTGTTATATGAGCAATATCCTCCCCTTGGGAAACATTGCGAGTTGCATGTCAGTGGATAACAAATGGCTCTGGGGTGCCTGAAGAGAGTTTCTTCCCCTGAAATAAAAAAATATAATTATTTCACTCTTTTTTGTTTAATTAGCTTTGTTTAAAAGAAAACTTTAAAAACCTTTAAAATTTAAAAACTGCCATAATTTACATCTTAAAGTAATCAGCCCGGCATTTTTTAATTTTTGCTGTTAGGGAAAAATATCATAAGCTAAGTGGATCTTCGAAAACTTCAACAATTCATTAATAAAAAAATATTTGATAGATATGCGACTTCTAGATAATATTTAATAAACATTTATTAAACTCAGATTGAGACCTCTAGAAGATAGTAATATTTTACTGAATTTTTCAGTTCTATTACTGGGTTATGAAGGTACTGGATTATTTATTATTATTAATTATTTTATGCATTTTTAAACATTGCAAATTTTCTTGATATTTCTTACAAGGTTCTGGGATTTCGGAAAACATTTTTATAAACTTATAAAAAACGCAGTAAAATTTTATCATCTTAAGACAATTGACTGATTTTTTTTCCAAACTAATTAAAATTTTACTTGTACTGTCTTTTTGGATTTCTTAGCAATGCCTTTTAGGTACACTTTTCGATTTGCAAAAAATTGGATATTTTGCTTGTGGCAACTTTTAAATGTTTCAAAAAATTTAAAACCTTGTAATAAAAACATAATACATAATAATAATACAAATAATAAATGTGCATAATAATAATGAAAATTTATGAAATATTCCTATATACACTTTTGAAATTGTCGTTTCAAAATTTAATTTATTCTAAAAGTTTTGTTTTATATATGTAGTATAATCCAGTTTTATTAATATTTAGACATTTATTTAAAGGCAGACCACTGAAAAAGCAATCGCAAAAAGCAAGATGCTGAAATTGTTGACATCTGTCGACTGTTGTTAAATGTTAAAACGACACTAATAAAATATTTTTTTTAAATGCCAGGCAAGTGTATCATTTTTAATTTTTATTTTAGATAGTTATTAATTTTATTTTAGGAAAACTTTTAGAACGAATTTGAATTAGCTGAATACCTTTTTTTGTTTAAAATCACATATTTAACAATTAAAGACAAACAGAGATTTTTAAAATTATTACCTCAGGACGCAATAATGAAATACACTAAACATTTTTTTAAAACATTTTTGGATATAACAGTGACCACTGTTCCGTCATTAAAGTTTAACTGAATTATTAGAATATTCATAGCGACAATATAAATTAAAAAACTTCTATCTACATATTTCAAAAATATAAAAAATAAGTAATAGTGTTTGTATTAAAAAAACATGTAATTTAAATTTGCAAGCTGCATATTATTCATATTTTGAAGGTTGATTTTTGTATGACTGTTTTTTCCTAATGTCAAAATCTATATCTCAATTTGTTTAAATAAACGATGAACGTACATTAAAACAATAATCAACACGTACCTTCTGCCAAGTCTTCTGTTTGTTCCAGAGGATTCCCATTAGCGATAACGACAATAGACACAAGCAAAATAATTAGAGCTGCTTTCATTTTTAGTTTTTATTTAGGATGTTAATGTCAGTATACAAGACTGTGTTACTGCCCGCTTTGAGGTTCTTGCCTTGTATTTATACTAAGTTATTCTGTATTTGACGTCGCTTAGCAGGTGATCCGATATTTATCTTTTGTTGCGACACTGTGTTTCCCATTTTACTGCACTGTTTTCGCCAAAAAGAAAACATTGCCTTTTTTCTTTAATTACTTTAACGCTTTCGAGGAAATACAAAGTCCACAGAGCAATTCAAGTGTTTACATGATCCATTTATCATAAAATAAAAGCATTTAGTCATCTCTTATCAGTAATCACAAGGTCTTTCCATTTTTGTCAAATTTGTGTATGTGTATATGATAACAATCGACTTTGTAAATATCTATCAAGGCAGTATTCGTGGCGCCACCTTTTGTTTTTGACCCAATTTATAGTTTCCTACTTTATTCTCTTCTAGAAATGTTGAGGTACTTCCCCTGTTAAATACAGGTTTGTATTGATTGACGCCAATAAAACCTTTTTCTATTCAATTAACCCAGATGTGGTGCTAGGTGGCTTAAAAAATTTGCTTGAATATGGGGAAAACCCCATGTAAGCAAACAAAAACGACGTTACGTATTTGAATAAATACAGGGTATCCTATTTATATAAAAAAAAATTGGAGGATGAGTTCTTACAAATATAGGCGGGGCAGTTCATATTGCCTTTATTATATTATACAGGGTGATTCGAAAATGAAACCTTCTTTGGTGAATTTTAAAAGTATATAAAGTTTTTACCTAGGACGCTTCGTTAAAAAGATACAGGGTAGTAATCTTAAAAAAATATTAATTTTTTAAAATAATTTAAAAACTAGTAAATGAAATAATTTGAAATTGGGCACATGTTTATGTAAACATTGTCCAAAATCTGAAGGCTTTTCCTAAAATTTACATGCTCCAGTGGCGGTGATACCGGGTATCGGTGCCATATTTTTCTAAATAAAATAGTACGCCACTGCTTTACGGTAACAACCATAATATTTTCGGATTTGTCCTTCAATTTTCTACAAATTACTACTCTCTTGTGTTTTTCGAAAAAAATTGATTTTCAGTTGGTTTTCGCTTGTCATTTGCCTAATATAAATTCTGGATTGCCCATACCAACTATGCGTGTCAATAATAAAATGATAGCAGTGACTGTAGTAAATAAAATAATTACATGATGTTAATTGATAGATAAATAATGGAAAATTAACAAAAATATTTGAAACTGTGATAACAATGAAAACAATGAAACTAGTGATAAATTCTCACAAAAAATTTGCAAATTCATGACTAGATTTACGGCAAAAATGTAAATTACGTTTTTATAGGAAATTAAATTTGCCATAAAAAAAGTCCAAGATTTCTGCCACCGCAATAACCTTGGTGCTACTTGTGTTGTAATTTGAATAAAATTGTTAATTTATATTGTGTTCCCAGAAAAAACGGAAGTTTTAAGTGTGATTGAACAAACTGTTCTTCTAAGCAACAGGTGTCACTGTATTAGACATTGTGTTTCCTTATTATGACAGTGCAGTGTAGTTTCTTGTTTATTTTTCAGTGAAATAGCATTTTATTCGAAAATTATTTTTTGTTTTAAGAGAAAATATACATATTTTATAATGTATCGACGACAATATAAAAAAAATACCAAGTTGATCTACTTTAATAAAAGTCGTTCATTTTCCCAACAAATACATATATTTAATTGCGATGATATACAGGGTGTGGCGTTTATAATCTATAAAAATGAAACTACAGCTTCCTATCAATATTTGTAATAGAAAAGTCTTATACGAAGAAATTCTATTTTTGCGTTTCTTTTTTGTAAATTAAAGTTCAATTATGCACCAGAATATTTTCTCTGGAACGGTCCTTTCCGTGTGCTGTATGATGACTTACGTACTGTAGACCAGCCACGTAAACAAATCGTCGTTGAAAAATAGAGATACTTCTCAATTTTTGGGTAATTTTTCAATGCAAAAGTACAAACTAAGAAAAATAGATATTTAAAAAAATCTGATATTTTCTTATTATAATCTTAAATGCATTGTTGTTAATGCAAGAGTTCGTGAACAAAACCACATCCGTAAGCATCTGTAGTTGCCAACTGCGTGCACTGAACAAACTCCATTAAAATATGGAACAAAATGAAATAAAACATACCATTTCTAGAGAAAATGTTGAAATTGATCCCCATTAGAGCGGATACAGGCATGGCACCGCGACGACGCACCCAATTTTGGAGAATATTTTTCCAAATTCCAGGTATTTCTCTAATTATGTCAGCAGCTGCAAGTATACGGTTTCGCAATTCTTCCACCGTAGCAATTGGAATATTGTAAACCAATGATTTCAAGTGACTCCAAAGATAAAAGTCCATTGGAGTTAGATCGAGTGACCAAGGTGACCACGGCACAGGACCAAAGCGTCCAATCCATCGCTGAGGAACCATTTCATTCAAAAGTGTCGCTACTTCTCGAGTACTGTGTGGAGGAGTCCCATCTTGAAGATAAAACGTACGTGCCCAAACTTGTAATGCCAAATCGTCCAATAATTTAGGCAACCGGTTCTCCAAAAAGTCAGCATATGTCCATTTAGTCGTCCTTCAAAGAAATAGGGACCCACAAGTACATTGCCTATTATACCAGCTCAAACATTTACCGAGAACCGATGTTGAAAATGAGTTTCCCTATTCGCATGAGAATTTTTATCGGGACATATGGGCATGTTATGGAAATTCACTTCAACACGGGTAAATGTCGCCTCATCTGTTACACAAACATAAGCAGGAAAGTTTACTTGATTGGCACATTGCCATAAAAACCATCTGCAAAAACGCATTCGTTGATCACAATCCGGGGGTAAAATCTGTTGAACTGGTTGCAGATGTGCTTAGCTTTTTTTTGTACCAAGTTTATTACAAAAAATTATTATTCCTCGCAGTTAACATCAGTCCAAAAATTGTTTATCAGTTTTTAGAATCACTATTCACTATCTAAATAGAAATTAGCAAGTTGGCTGTGCACTCGTTTTTGTTATTGTTTGACAAAATTAATAATAGCTGTCACTTTGAATGTTTGTGTGTGAAGCAGTTAAGTGCATAATTGCATAAATAATTTCTGCTATTTTTGAAACCGAATTTTTTTATTTTTATTTATTTTATTTTTTTACTCGAAAATGGTGCGTCATAAGAAAAAGAGTCGAGATACCTTTTCTCTTCCAAATTGAACAAAGAGTTCAAAAATAATTTTTATTTTAAGGAAAATCAGTACTGGATAATTTTTTTCTGTAACAATATCTGGAGACATGCCTGTACGCACGCCACTGGTGAAACTGAAAACAATATTTTTATCGAAAAACATGTATTGTTGTTATAGTCGAGGCAATGAAGAACTAAAAAGGCCAAAAGTTCGGAATTTTTTGCACTAAGACGGATCGGAATGCGGTTTTCTGCATTCGCTTCCAAAAAATTTTTGTAAAAAATGTATCTACTTTGTATCTTAAACAAACCGGAAATTGCATTGCTGCAGCCAAAAATGCATTTTAAAAATGCATTTTTTGAGACGGCTTTGGGAAGATTTAATAACTGTAAATTCGAGTTAGAACTGGCCCAAATCGGGTTCCCGGGGGTTTTCGAGGTCGCTGATCACGATTATGATGTTCAAATTGACTCACAGCCGACCTGGAGCTCAGGAACGCCGATGAACGTCATCTCCGTGGGACTCTCCCAAAATTTACGCGGGGAAGGAGAGAAACTCGGCGCCCGGGGTTTTTTTGGGTCGCTGAATTCAAATATGGCATCGTCAAACACCTGGTGCACCGGAACCTGGACGTGAACGTCATCTCCGAGAGTTTTCCTGACAAGATCGCCAAAAACAACCCAAAAATCATTGTGGGGGCGTTTTTTGGGGCGCTTAATCCAAATTTCACGTCGAAAACGACCCCCTGAGCACCTGGTGCACTGGAACCTGAACGCAGAACTCATCTCCGAGGGTTTTCCTCACACAATCGGAAAAGACAAACCGAAAATCGTTATGGGGTTTTTTTTGGGGCGCTGAATCCGAATTTCACGTCGAAAATGACCCCCGAACACCTGGTGCACCGGAACCTGGCCCGGAACGTCGTCTCCGAGGGTTTTCCAGACACGGTCGGAAAAGACATACCGAAAATCGTTATGGGGGTTTCTTGGGGCGCTGAATCCAAATTTCACCCCGAAAACGTACCTCCGGACACCTGGTGCACCGGAACCTCGGCCTGAACGTCATCTCCGAGGGTTTTCCTCATGTGTCAAATTATGAGACGATTTTCGGATAGTTTTTTGCGATCGTGTCTGGAAAACCCTCGGAGACGACGTTCAGGCCGAGGTTCCGGTGCACCAGGTGTCCGGAGGTACGTTTTCGGAGTGAAATTTGGATTCAGCGCCCCAAAAAATCCCCATAACGATTTTCGGTTTGTCTTTAGCGATCGTGTCTGGAAAACCCTCGGAGACGACGTTCAGGCCCAGGTTCCGGTGCACTAGGTGTTCGGGGGATCGTTTTCGACGTGAAATTTGAATTAAGCGCCCCAAAAAACGCCCCACAATGATTTTTGGGTTGTTTTTGGCAATCTTGTCAACAAAACTCTCGGAGATGACGTCCACGTCCAGGTTCCGGTGCACCAGGTGTTTGACGATGCCATATTTGAATTCAGCGACCCAAAAAACCCCCGGGCGCCGAGTTTCTCTCCTTCCTCGCGTGAATTTTGGGAGAGTCCCTCGGATATGACGTTCATCGACGTTCGTGATCAGCGACATCGAAGAACCCCCGAGAACCCGATTTGGGCCAGTTCTGACTCTTATTTACAAAGTTATTAAATCTTCCAAAGGTCGTTTCAAAAAATGCATTTTTTGTATGCATTTTTGGCTGCAGCAATGCAATTTCCGGTTTGTATAAGATACAAAGTAGATACATTTTTTACAAAAAATTTTTGGAAGCGAACGCAAAAAGCCGCATTCCGATCCGTCTTAGTGCAAAAAATTCCGAGGTTGAGTGCTTCATTGCCTCGACTATTAACTGTCAAAGCCTGTAAAATTTCATTAAAATATTCTGAGCGGTTTCCGTAATCTTTATAAATTTGCATGTTTTCATTAAAACTTTAACACCCTGTAGATCGGAAACTAAGCGTTTTCGAAATATGGTATATTAAGGAAATACAGAGTGGCCAAATGAAAACGAAACAGTGCCATTTTCAGGATCTGCGTCAAGATTGTAGAAAAACGCTCAGACCCGTCGATTTTAGATTAAAGGGGGACATTCTTTGCTGGTATTTTTGACTCCGCCACTTTCACCCCCAAGCAAGGGTAAGCATCACTCCAAAATATTTAAATGGCATTGGGGGTTGAGTAATATTTCTTTTGAAAGTTCTTACAATTCTCTTTATAACAGACTTTAAATTTTATAATTGGCGGAGTCAAAAATACCAGCAAAGAATGTCCCCCTTTGATCTAAAATCGACGGGTTTGAGCGTTTTTCTACAATCTCGACGCAGTTCGTGAAAATGGCTCGGTTTCGTTTTCATTTGGCCACCCTGTATATTACAAATCGCTAGTACTATAACCTTCTGCAAGGAATGCATCGACTTACCAAACACCCTGTATATTAAATCGATTTTCAATTAGTATACCCTTTCTTTAGAGTATTTTATGTGTTTTGCAGAGTTATTAGGAAGTTTAAGAAATTTTGGACATTTAACAAATTCCTTCAATTATATGCTACAGTTTTTTTTGTAAAAAAATGACTTGCACGTTTTTCCTTAGACATAGTTGATGTTTATATACATATTTTTAGCTTTATCTTTAGACAATTTAAAGACAAATTTCGGAAAAATTTATTTTCCAACTAATTCTGTTCCTATTTCTTCTGTTAGATATAAATGGGACATTCTATTTCTACTTTTTATTTAAGGAATCTCTTTTAATGGAATTTTTCGGGTACCTTTTGGTAGTAAGTATATTTCCATAAGTCCCAATGTAAAAAAAAATAAAAAGACATATTAGATTATGTATGTACTCTGTGTTTCCAAATTTGGAAAATTTTTCTAAACCACAGAAAATAATTCAGAATCAATTTTTATATTCCATTTATTAATCAATACAATAAATTCTCTTTGGTGCCTAATCTTAAGGAAGGAATAGTTATTTTGTTATAGGTAACTCAGACATAAAAAATGTATAAATATGTCTATATTACATAAATAATAATAAATACATTTCCAGTAGGAATAATTTTACAAATTTAGTGTAAGAAAATCCTCATAACGTCTACTAGTTGAAGACCGCGCTTTGGTACAGTACTGTCCATTTAATAGCATGTACAGATGACACCTCTGAGGCAATAACCTCCGTGGCGATTGGATTTGAGGCATTCTAAAGCACAAAGACTGCGGATGCATGGAGCTTTGTTCAGAAGTCCAGAGTTTTCCAATTGTTGTTTCAGTTTTTCTGAAAAAAGAAATAATGTCGTTAGATAGATATATAAAATAACGTTAAAGACTTATGTGTAAAGAAACATTCGTGACCGTTTAAAGTGGTCAATCTGGTAGTGTATTGCAAGTTTAATCCTTAATAATAAATCTACGACAGATAAAACACAAATTTACCTAGTTTCTGAATTTTATATTGCTTTTGATGTTGTTGTTTTATTTTCTCTTTGAGGTCATTATATGTTTTACTGCGATTGTCGTCGTCGCTGGCATTATCCCTATCTTCTTCAGTTTTGTTCTGGTCTTCCTGTGTAATATCTTGTCTATCTTCGTTTGATTTGTTGCGACTATCTTGATCATCATTCTTAGCTTCATCGCTTTTGTTTTGATCATCGTCATCTTTATCATTATCTACATCTTCATCCATTTTATTTTGATCTTCCTTTGTATGATCGAGTCCATCTTCGTTTGATTTGTTGAGACTACTTTCGTCATCATCTTTCGTTACATCAGCATTGTTAGTATTATTTTCACTTTCTTTATCATCTCCAACATGGCCGGAATTATTGTCATTATCTATATCTTCATCAGTTTTATTTTGGTCTTCCTTTGTGTGATTTTGTCTATCTTCGTTTGAATTGTTGCGACTACCTTCATCATCATTTTTCGTCACATTATCATTGTTACTATTGTTTTCCTTTCCTTTATCATCTCTATCTTCACCGGACTTGTTGTCATTATCAATCTCTTCATCTGTTTTGTTCTGGTCATCCTTTGAGTGGTCCTGTCTATCTTCGTTTGAATTGTTACGACTACCTTCGTTGTCATTTTTCGATACATTAACATTGTTACTATCTTTTTCCTTTTCTTTATTATCTCCATCTTCGCCTGAATCGTTATCATTGTCTATATCTTCATCAGTTTTGTTCTGGTCTTCTTTTGTGTGATTCTGTCTATCTTCGTTTGATTTGTTGCGACTACCATCCTTTTCTTTATCATTTCCATCTTCACCGGACTTGTAGTTACTGTCTCGGTCCTTATCATCATCTTTATTTTCAACACTATCGTTGCGACTGTCTTCTTGATCGTCATTCCTCTCTTCCTCAGTTCTATTGCGACTATTTTCGTTGGCTTCATCATCATCGTCATCTTCAACGTCATCTATGTCTTCAACAGTATCGTTTTGTGCGTCCTTCTCATCTTCCTTACTACTGTATTCGACCGTGTTGTCGTGGTCGTGAGGTACTTCTTGTGGCGGTAGTGATGGGCCCTGGTTTCCGTTTATTGGCTGATTTCCAGCACCGGAAGCGGTTTGACTTGTGGCGGCACCTATATCTTCTGGCAATTGATTAGCAGCAGGAGAAGCTCCATTTACACTTTGTGATGGTTGGCCAGTAACCGGAGCATTTTGATCTACAACATTTGTTTCTTGAGAAGGTAGTTCATCAGCAATTGGAGCAGAAGTGGCTTGATCAACTGCTATAGATTGATCAACAGCAGGGCTTGTATCTTGAGCTGGTTGACCACCGGCAATTGGAGCGGAAGTGGCTATTGGTCAACTACTACAGATTGATCAACAGCAGGGCTTGTATCTTGAGCTGGTTGACCACCGGCAATTGGAGCGGAAGTGGCTAGGTCAACTACTACAGATTGATCAACAGCAGGGCTTGTATCTTGAGCTGGTTGACCACCGGCAATTGGAGCGGAAGTGGCTTGGTCAACTACTACAGATTGATCAATAGCAGGGCTTGCATCTTGAGCTGGTTCACCACCGGCATTATAAGCAGAAGTGGTTTGGTCAACTACTACAGATTGATCAACATTAGGACTTGTATCTAGAGCTGGTTGACCACCGGCAATTGTAGCAGAAGTGGTTTGGTCAACTACTACAGATTGATCAACAGCAGGGCTTGTATCTTGAGCTGGTTGACCACCGGCAATTGGAGCGGAAGTGGCTTGGTCAACTACTACAGATTGATCAACAGCAGGGCTTGCATCTTGGGCTGGTTCACCACCGGCAATAGGAGCAGAAGTGGTTTGGTCAACTACTACAGATTGATCAACAGTAGGGCTTGTATCTTGAGCTGGTTGACCACCGGCAATTGGAGCACCACCGGCAATTGGTGCGGAAGTGGCTTGGTCAACTAATGCAGATTGATCAACAGCAGCAGGGCTTGCATCTTGAGCTGGTTGACCACCGGCAATAGGAGCAGAAGTGGTTTGGTCAACTACTACAGATTGATCAACAGTAGGGCTTGCATCTTGAGCTGGTTCACCACCGGCAATAGGAGCTGAAGTGGTTTGGTCAACTACTACAGATTGATCAACAGTAGGGCTTGTATCTAGAGCTGGTTGACCACCGGCAATTGGAGCAGAAGTCGTTTGGTCAACTACTACAGATTGATCAACAGCAGGGCTTGTATCTTGAGCGGGTTCACCACCGATAATTGGAGCAGAAGTGGCTTGGTCAACTACTATAGATTGATCAACAGCAGGGCTTGCATCTTGAGCTGGTTGACCACCGGCAATTGGAGCAGAAGTCGTTTGATCAACCACTACAGATTGATCAACAGCAGGGCTTGTATCTTGAGCTGGTTCACCACCGGCAATTGGAGCAGAAGTGGATTGGTTAACTACTACAGATTGATCAACAGCAGGGCTTGTATCTTGAGCTGGTTGACCACCGGCAATTGGAGCACCACCGGCAATTGGTGCGGAAGTGGCTTGGTCAACTAATGCAGATTGATCAACAGCAGCAGGGCTTGCATCTTGAGCTGGTTGACCACCGGCAATAGGAGCAGAAGTGGTTTGGTCAACTACTACAGATTGATCAACAGTAGGGCTTGCATCTTGAGCTGGTTCACCACCGGCAATAGGAGCTGAAGTGGTTTGGTCAACTACTACAGATTGATCAACAGTAGGGCTTGTATCTAGAGCTGGTTGACCACCGGCAATTGGAGCAGAAATCGTTAGGTCAACTACTACAGATTGATCAACAGCAGGGCTAGTATCTTGAATTGGTTGACCGCCGGCAATTGGGGCAGAAGTGGCTAGGTCAACTACTGCAGATTGATCAACAGCAGGGCTTGCATCTTGAGCTGGTTCACCAACGGCAATAGGAGCAGAAGTGGTTAGGTCAACTACTACAGATTGATCAACAGTAGGGCTTGTATTTTGAGCTGGTTGACCACCGGCAATTGGAGCGGTAGTGGCTTGGTTCATCAGCAATTGGAGCAGAAGTGGCTTGATCAACTGCTATAGATTGATCAACAGCAGGGCTTGTATCTTGAGCTGGTTGACCACCGGCAATTGGTCAACTACTACAGATTGATCAACAGTAGGGCTTGTATCTTGAGCTGGTTGACCACCGGCAATTGGAGCGGAAGTGGCTTGGTCAACTACTATAGATTGATCAACAGCAGGGCTTGTATCTTGAGGTGGTTGACCACCGGCAATTGGAGCAGAAGTGGCTTGGTCAACTACTGTAGATTGATCAACAACAGGGCTTGCATCTTGAGCTGATTGACCACCGGCAATTGGAGCGGTAGTGGCTTGGTCAACTAGTACAGATTGATCAACAGCAGGGCTTGTATCTTGAGCTGGTTGACCACCGGCAATTGGAGCGGAAGTGGCTTGGTCAACTACTACAGATTGATCAACAGCAGGGCTTGTATCTTGAGCTGGTTGACCACCGGCAATTGGAGCGGAAGTGGCTTGGTCAACTACTACAGATTGATCAACAGCAGGGCTTGTATCTTGAGCTGGTTGACCACCGGCAATTGGAGCGGAAGTGGCTTGGTCAACTACTACAGATTGATCAACAGCAGGGCTTGTATCTTGAGCTGGTTGACCACCGGCAATTGGAGCGGAAGTGGCTTGGTCAACTACTACAGATTGATCAACAGCAGGGCTTGTATCTTGAGCTGGTTGACCACCGGCAATTGGAGCGGAAGTGGCTTGGTCAACTACTACAGATTGATCAACAGCAGGGCTTGTATCTTGAGCTGGTTGACCACCGGCAATTGGAGCGGAAGTGGCTTGGTCAACTACTACAGATTGATCAACAGCAGGGCTTGTATCTTGAGCTGGTTGACCACCGGCAATTGGAGCGGAAGTGGCTTGGTCAACTACTACAGATTGATCAACAGCAGGGCTTGTATCTTGAGCTGGTTGACCACCGGCAATTGGAGCGGAAGTGGCTTGGTCAACTACTACAGATTGATCAACAGCAGGGCTTGTATCTTGAGCTGGTTGACCACCGGCAATTGGAGCGGAAGTGGCTTGGTCAACTACTACAGATTGATCAACAGCAGGGCTTGTATCTTGAGCTGGTTGACCACCGGCAATTGGAGCGGAAGTGGCTTGGTCAACTACTACAGATTGATCAACAGCAGGGCTTGCATCTTGAGCTGGTTCACCACCGGCAATAGGAGCAGAAGTGGTTTGGTCAACTACTACAGATTGATCAACAGCAGGGCTTGTATCTTGAGCTGGTTGACCACCGGCAATTGGAGCGGAAGTGGCTTGGTCAACTACTACAGATTGATCAACAGCAGGGCTTGCATCTTGAGCTGGTTCACCACCGGCAATAGGAGCAGAAGTGGTTTGGTCAACTACTACAGATTGATCAACAGCAGGGCTTGTATTTTGAGCTGGTTGACCACCGGCAATTGGAGCGGAAGTGGCTTGGTCAACTACTACAGATTGATCAACAGCAGGGCTTGCATCTTGAGCTGGTTCACCACCGGCAATAGGAGCAGAAGTGGTTAGGTCAACTACTACAGATTGATCAACAGTAGGGCTTGTATTTTGAGCTGGTTGACCACCGGCAATTGGAGCGGAAGTGGCTTGGTCAACTACTACAGATTGATCAACAGCAGGGCTTGCATCTTGAGCTGGATGACCACCGGTAATTGGAGCGGAAGTGGTTTGGTCAACTACTACAAATTGATCAACAGCAGGGCTTGTATCTTGAGCTGGTTGACCACCGGCAATAGGAGCAGAAGTCGTTTGGTCAACTACTGCAGATTGATCAACAGCAGGGCTTGCATCTTGAGCTGGTTGACCACCGGCAATTGGAGCAGAAGTCGTTTGGTCAACTACTACATATTTATCAACAGCAGGGCTTGTATCTTGAGCGGGTTCACCACCGACAAATGGAGCAGAACTGGTTTGGTCAACTACTATAGATTGATCAACAGCAGGGCTTGCATCTTGAGCTGGTTGACCACCGGCAATTGGAGCGGAAGTCGTTTGGTCAACTACTACAGATTGATCAACAGCAGGGCTAGTATCTTGACCTGGTTGACCGCCGGCAATTGGAGCAGAAGTGGATTGGTCAACTACAACAGCAGGGCTTGTATCTTGAGCTGGTTGACCATCGGAAATTGGAGTGGAAGTGGCTTGGTCAACTACTACAGATTGATCAACAGCAGGGCTTGTATCTTGAGCTGGTTGGCCACCGGCAATTGGAGGGGAAGTGGTTTGATCAACTACTACAGATTGATCAACAACAGGGCTTGCATTTTGAGCTGGTTGACCACTGGCAGTTGGAGCGGAAGTGGCTTGGTCAACTACTACAGATTGGTCAGCAGCAGGGCTTGTATCTTGAGCTGGTTGACCACCGGCAATTGGAGCAGAATTGGCTTGGTCAACTACTACAGATTGATCAATAGCAGGGCTTGTATCTTGAGCTGGTTGACCGCCAGCAACTGAAGAAAGAGTAGTTTGAAGTAGATTTTGGTCAGCTATGATTACTTGGTCTATAGTGACATTAACAGCACCGCTTGAGTTAACATATGGGTTACCAGTTGAGTTGGATATTTGACTGACATCATTTATTGCAACTGAACTATCGTTAACTGAAACATAACAGAGGTCAGTTACGTCAGTTAAAAAAAAATTGTGTTCTTATTAATTTATTACTCTATTCATATTATTTACTGAAATAAAGTGTTGTGTGAAATTTGGAATTTATTAATATAGCAGTCAACCGACGTATACTTTTTATTGTGAGCACTTAAATATGTATGTGTCTTACCTCCTGCAACATTTTGTTCCTCTAAAATGACAGTAGTCACCTCAACAATTTCACTAGCTACAGTCGATTCCGGAACAATTTCCGCGATTAGACTAGGCACCACGGCAGCCTGAACGGCTCCAATGAGAATTACAAAGACGAAAATATTTCTCATTATATCGCACAACTTTCTATTCGTTCGCATTGCGTTCGTTTAGTCGTTTGTCGAGCAAACCCGTCATTCAGTTTTATATACGTTTCTTATGACGAAAACTAAGTAGAATCGTCAATATTTTTTATTGCTGGATATAAGTTAATTATCCCAGATTTACTTTTAGGACGATCAAGAATTAAAATGTTGATTTTATATTAGTTATGCAAATACAATTATTTAAGAAATAGCTGAAATATGTGATGAGAGCAATGTTTTGTTTGTTTTAACTGGCAAATAATATTTGCGTGTCTTATGGTGGTAAAACGTCAGGAGAATTCCTTATCTCTGCAACATGATTATTTCACAGGAAAGACCCATTAGCGTCCGCAGATAAGTTTGCCTTTCTTCCAAATTTTGATAAATTTATAAAGGATGTGTTCAAATTGAACAAATGAGTAAAGATCTCTGAAAGTTTAGTACTTATCAAAAATCCATGAATATGATGACAAATTTGGATATAAGCTAAACTTTGTTGTAAGACTTCCATTTAACATAAATATATGCTATCTGCTGTTTTCTAGATAAATGGCGACGTTAGAGAAATTTTTATTTGAACTTTTTGCTTCAAAATAAAGACATCTAAACTTATTTTGCAAAATACACCAACTGGATATAAGTTTTCATATATTGTTAAAAAATGGATGAAAGTTTATCATTAGTACTTCGAAATCATCTCATAAATTTGTTTCATTCTGCAAAATAACTTATGAAAAAAAAGGTCAAATATAATACATATTTAAACTATTTGTTTTTCGTATATGAAGGCGGAGAATTTGAAGAGAGTGATGAAAATTATTTCCTGCGGCGTTAAAGTAGAGAAAAACATAGATCAGTTGGTGTGAATATACAGGGTGTTGTCAGTTAAATTCTGGCTATTGGGATAATATACGGAAACACACTGAACAGGTAACGAGAAATCGTTATGTATTATCTAAAATCATAGATTGCAAAACATTTTGCGGAGCTTTCGAATTAGCATTTCGCGGACACGACGAGACAGAAAATTCGGACAACCCTGATGTGTTTCGTGGACTCATAAATTTTAGTGCAGATCTTGACGACATATTAAAAGAACATCTAGCCACATGGGTATGACCGGGATTTTCTGCGATTGTACCGGGAATTAGCTGTATGGTAGCTCGGCATATAATATATGTGTATATATATAAAAAAAGATAAAGAAAAAATCATAACACGGAGAGGAAAATTAAAATTCGTTGAATCGTTGGTAAACTTCACAAACGATTTTTTTGTTTATAAACAATATTCAATAATTTAATAAAATATATGTATTTAGTTTATTCCAATTTATTTATATCGTCAGTAGGTAATTCATTAACAGATATTTCAAAAAAGTATCAATTTCAAAAATCGTTCTTGTGAAAATCTGTATTTTTGTATAAATGGATTGCTCCTTGAAATTCAGAAGTGCCAGGAAAACGCGTGACCTTGAAAATTTTAAAATTTTCGCCTGCGGCGCCAGTTTGAGACTATCCGAGCACTTAATATCCCGGAATTCAATTCAACAAATGTAACAGCCCTAAGCACAACACATTCAATCAATGTTCACGCTCCGCCACTGGATTTAATTAATTATATTATTTCAATAGAAAATATGTATGTGAATAAGAACCTTGGAAAAGTAGATAGTGAAAATAAGGAAATGTATTTTATTCCTTGTATTTCATCATAGCATCATGAGAACACTAATTGATGCAGAAACTAACATTACTATGAGTATTTAAGTCAATGTCAAGAAGGCAAAGTATATATTATTACCAATGTGTGATTATAATCTGAAACTAATATGTATTTTTCAGCAACATGCTTTTTCATGTTCCTTTAGAATTAGTTGTTCATCAGACGTTGGGAATTTAGTTCTATGTTGTAAATATTAAATAATCAATCAATTGTTAGAACGATATTCACGATCGTCAGTTGATAATATAAAAAAAGCGAAAGACCAAACGTCCTTGTTGAGAACACAAGAATATTTGCAAGAACCTCTCAGATGCTTACATGACTGTCAGCCTATAACTGTTATTTAAGATTTCATCAATATTGCACTCAATTATTTCATTTTTAATCCTACGATAAGCATCTACAAAAGCTGTATCACCATTATGGAACGGTGTTAAGAAAATCGAATGCATAATTAATTACTGCTCATGATGACGAGTTAGCCTTGTGTTTGATTTGGTTCAACATAACTAATTTTGAAGACATAATAAGATATTTTTTTGAAAAATATAACATTTACGCATTTGATATAGATTGAGGCAACTTGGACTAGTGACTTAACCAAGTAATTGTAAAGTAAAACATAAACACAAATTTTCCAAAATACAGTCAATTTTCCCGATAATTAATTTACAAGTTATGTTGCAGGTATACCTAAACAATGCATCAGCCCAACAACCTCTCAGACTGATAATCCCTGGAGCCGCTTTCCGTCAGGGAAGTACGTCCCGTGGTAGAAGAAGAAGAAGACCTTCCGTCCCTGGCATCAAATTTCGACGACGAAGTCAACAAACTAGGCATTTCGGCCCTGACTTCTGCCGTCAGACAGGCAGAAGAAGAAGAACCACCACTGAGGCCGTCGCCGTTGTCTTTCAGGCCCGAAAAACCGGTTCCTGTGACCAGGGACCAGATCAGAGAGAGGCCTTCTATTGAAAATCAACCTAGGCCAGCCCCTGTGCCTAGGCCTCTGCCTGTTCTGAGACCGGCGCCTCCGCCACAAAGGCCTGTCCTAATACAGGAGAGGCCAATCGTCAGACAGGAAATCGACGATGAAGAAGGAAGAAGAGAATATTCCCAGGCAACCAATCAGGAAGGTGCGTTTCTTGTTCTTATACATAATATAGTTTGTTAGTTTGACTGACATAATTTCAATATATAGTTAATTAAAGAAACAAGACATAATTTTGTACAGAGAATACCACAAAGTGCAATGTTTGTACCATTAATTCGTTAGTTTTTCTCCTGGTTTTCTCCATGCTTAGCATACGTGAGAATCACAAATTGTTATTAATTTATGGGTAAGCTATAAAAGGACATTCGTTGAAGCATATCTAAAGAGTAGTAAAAATGTTTTGGACTTTGTCGTTTTTTTTATGATTACGGCTCCGGGGTCTGGTCCATAACTTTGTTTAGAATTCACGAAAAAATCTGAAATTTGGTATGCGGGCATAGTGAACGATGATCTACCGATTGCCTATATCTACTATACATCTGCATGTTTTCGCCGTCCCCGACGTGGTTGCCGCCCCCGGGGGCAGCAGATATAGGCAATCGGTAGATCATCGTTCGCTATGCTCGCATACCAAATTTCAGATTTTTTCGTCGATTCTGAACAAAGTTATGGCCCAGACCCCGGAGCCGTAATCCAACCCCAAATTTCATAAAAATATTTCTCAACGTTTGGAAATTTTTCTGAAAATTCTATTTAAAAAATTTTATTTTGTCGCTCGGTATCTCGAAAACAAGAGGAGATAGACATATAGTTTATATGTTTATTATAAGAAAGTATTATGTAAAGTACATAGGTAGTATCTGTGTTATGTGAATTATTCAATTTATGGAAAGCCAAACTTTCGGTCACGACCTGCTCAAATGGGATCCATTCTCATGCACCCATTTTGTTTTCGCTGATATGGACCCTTTGCAGTTCCGAGTCGTCCCCAAGGGGTCGATATAGACCACTTTGGGAATCATTTCGCATTGGTTTAAACTGTGTTAGTTAAAATTAAATGATACTGTTTGAACTTTTTGTGAGCCACTCTGTTTATTTACATTATTTTAAGTTTTCTAGTATGCTGTAAATTATTTTCGGGCAAATTTATAATGTATCTGTGACACGTCTAGAATAAAATTTTGTTTAATTAAAAGATGAATCATATCGCTTATTATGGGACATACCAGATTTACTTTCTTCCTACGCTGTAAAATTAGATTGCGTTATCTGATGTCGTTGAATAATTTATGTATTTAATTTAATTATTTTTTTATTAAGCAGCAGCATCATCTTGTGCTGTAAAGTTATACGTTCGGTGACTAGTTGTTTATTATATAAAATAATATGCGCCAGTGATAAAATAATAAATTAATCAAGACTTCCAGAAAAAAAGGTATCCCTGAATTTCCGTAAAATAAATGTTTACCAGGGACATTCTTATAATTCATCAAAATGTAAATGTGTCAAAAAGATACTTCAGTCAACTGAAAGTAATAAAAGTAATACTCGATTTATGTAATTTTTATTAACACAAAGTATACAAAAAACCTTAAAATTACTGTTTTAAACTAAACTTATAATTATTTATTGGTACTGCGGACCTGGGGGTCTGAACTGAGGTTGAGGTTTGCCAATGTTTAATGGCTTTTTAGGTGGAAGTCTTGCTATGGCTTCTTCCTCAATTTCGTCAGGGTCTTGTTCGTCACATTTGTTGCCGCTTTCGTAGGTGTATTCCCTGAAAAATTTAATAATTTGTTTTTATTTATTTGTATATTATACAAGTTGTCTTCGACAATTTCGGAAATTTCTAAATTGGAGATACTGGAGACGATGGAGCCAAAAATAACGAGCGTTCAAATAAAAACGTGGTCGTGTAGTAAATCGCAAATCTAGTAGATATAGACATACTGTATAGTAGGTACCTAGTTAAGTTAAACCAAGGGCTAGAAACAGGCGATGGTATAGTTCGTTGAGAAAGAAGCCGTTCCCACGGACTTGGATGAAAGGCGCGGCATCGTAAAGTAGTTCGGTGTGATTTAAAATAAACAAATCGCCAAAGTTACGGGATCTCGCCGGATATGAAGGTGCTAAATTTTATCTTTAACACGACTCCTTCGAAAACTGTCAATTTAACACTTTTTTTTGAAAGATAACTGTTCATGGGAACTTTAGGTTCGCGGGGAAAAAGCTACGGTTGCAGAAAGGAGCCATTACGCCTTTTTAGTAATGGTCGACGGTATAGTTTACACACTCTTTTATGATAAAAGACAACACTCTTAAGTGGGAATAATTTATTGAAAAAAAGGAAATAATTGATTGGTGGGATCGATTCGGCCATGTTTTATTTAGGAGAGCTTTAGCATACAGGGCGGGGTTAAAACATTGGAAAATCGGGAGCTTAAGACTTTGAAGGAGGACTAGAGTCAGTCGTTACGGGGCTCGCGGAACTGGAAGTTTTATTTTCTAGTGCAGGGCACTAGGTCTTGTTTGGGCCATATTTTACTAGAGTCAGTCGTTACGGGGCTCGCGGAATTGGAAGTTTTATTTTCTAGTGCAGGGCACTAGGTCTTGTTTGGGCCATATTTTACTAGAGTCAGTCGTTACGGGGCTCGCGGAACTGGAAGTTTTATTTTCTAGTGCAGGGCACTAGGTCTTGTTTGGGCCATATTTTACTAGAGTCAGTCGTTACGGGGCTCGCGGAATTGGAAGTTTTATTTTCTAGTGCAGGGCACTAGGTCTTGATTTGGGCAATATTTTTCCAGAGTCGTTACAAGTCAACCGGGATTGATTTTTGGGACTAATTGAGGTTAGCAAAATTGTGGTGACCGCAACGGAGCGTACAGTGCACGGTGGGTGCCATTTAATGTCCTCTTTTCTCAGTGCATTAACACCAATTCTGTTTCGGAAATTTTGGTAAGTGTACCATATAGTATTTTTTTTGTTGTTCTCTGTTTTGTTTGTAACATTTTTCTAGACAGAGCGGCAGCGGTCAGACTGTCTCTCTGAACAATATTCAATATAAGTACCAAATTAGTATTTTTGGTTGTTCTTTGTTTTGCTTGTAACATTTTTCTAGACCGAGCGGCAGCGATTAGACTGTCTCTCTGAACATTATTATTCAATATATAGTTAGTATTAAATCAATGCGAGGTTTGATTTCTCACAACCGCCTGACTAATTCCCGCTAGTTAGAAGTCTCTGCGAGAAGTTTTCTGCTTCGACTTTAGCCAGAGCCGAATCCGGGTGTCTGTCAGCCGCTCGACAACCAACCAGGAGGAAGCCGGGGCGAAGATACGCACAGTAGTCGAAAACCGGGAGCCGCGACCTTATTGGTGCCCGAGGGGGAATAGTCCTTGGGTAAGCAGCTGTCCGACGGTTGTAGATTGGAATGTAGAAATTTGGTCA